TATAAACACTTTGAGCAATCTAATAAAACCACAACATCATCACAACATATCGTATTTTAGACAGAGTATGTCTGGCCAAGACGGTGTAAAAAGTGCTCGAGTTCACGCTGAGGTACACACTGTGACTAATTTCTTGAATGTGAAAGCTTCTGTAAGAGAGCCAGACATTAAACGGTTTGGGGCCATTTGAAATGCTTGGGTTGTTCGCCTCATTTTACAGCGCTGTGGGCTTCCACACAAAAGGATGGTTTATAATGACACAATGAAAAAGCCCAGAGTTTATGAAGACAGGCAGCAGGAGAGCCATCAATGTGAATGCTGACTGCATCAACTGTCAGTTGTAATCAAGGTTATTAATTAACTCAGACTAAACTAAAAACAAAAACTAGGTGAGAAAAAAATTTTTAGTTAACTGAAACAAAAACTAGACTTTAGAAAAAAGCAAAAACAAACTGAAATGTGGTTTTAAAGTTTTAGTCTCTTCTTTTGGTCAAACTAAACTAAAAGCTAAATCTAGGTGTGAAAAAACATTTTATTTAAAGCCCCTACAAGGAAGTTTCATTTTATGTTGATTCTGGAGGCCCCTGTGGACAAAAGACGGTAGTGTTTGCACCGCCTCGTTTCATTGATATCAAGGGGAATCCAACCGAATCGGACCAGGTGGACGACATTAAGAATAACAATATAGAATAGCCAATCTTCTTGCTGATGATCTTGTTTGTGTGTGGAGGTCATATAGGGGCTTTAGCATTAAATTTAGACTGTTTCATAACCAGCTGAAAACATGAATTAAGTGAAATGATATTGTGTATTTACAGAAAAAACTAACCTAAAAATTAGTACTAAACAATAAAAAACTAAACTGAAACAAGCAAACCCACTCTGGAAACTAACTGAAGGTGAAATAAAACCAAAACTAATGAAAAATACAAAACTATAAAATCAATAACTGGTTGTAAGTAACACATCTGAAAGGGACTCTCAAAAAAAGATTGATAATCGAAGAAAATCAACTTAAACGTGTGAGAGAACTCTAAGAAACATTCCCAGAGTCTAAAAAAGACGACTCTCTTCAATCACTCAGACCTTTGACTCGCTCATGGGAAGCCATGTATGTTTAACCTCTGAGCTTTGGTCGTCCTGTTACAGACCAATGTTGATATGTTCAGTCCTACCTTTAGCTTGAGATCCAATGGCATCTTTGCTCAGAGTTATCTTTCCAATAACATCGTCGTGGCTGCAGAAAAAGATTTAAAAAAAGAAGAGATTATCAGACAGAAGCTATGGGAAATACTATCAAAGTTGTTTGATCTTGCGAGAGTTAAATGAGGTGAATCTGAAGACAGGCTGATTAGAGCACTGGTGGTCATGAGAAGAGGAGGAAGAAAACAACCTTTAATCACTCAATCTGGGCGACCATCTGCCTGATGATGTTTGTTTATTCAAAGATTGGAGGTTTTTTTTCTTCCCAAAACATTTACATGAGGTTTTAACCCAAATGTATCAAGTCATGAGCCAAGTTAAGCAAACGCTCACAGACCATAAATCAACTGCCAGGCTCTGACAGATAAGAGTAATGGTTGCATATGGAAGCATTATGAGACAGCTTTGGATGACGGGCGTTACCCAATCGTGTCCTCGTCCATGACATGAAAGGAGAGTGAATGGAACCCCATCGGGAGGTGCAGCGTGTACTCTTCACCCCAGAAAGGATTAAGGTTCTTCCACACTGTGGCAGTCCTGAAAAGAGAGGTTTAACCAGACCTTACACAGAAACGTCTCATATGAATGTATAAAACCAGTGGAGTAATAGCAGAAATCGCTGTAAATGTGGCAGCAGTATAAACCCTCTCTTTGTAAGTAGTACATGAGGAGTAGACAGATTATTTGCTTTTTGAGTAATATGCACAAAATAGTGCAATTTGGAATTCCTCCAAGGGATTACAAATAGAAAAAACATATGTCTGCTACATAAAACGAAATAATCCTTTCAAAACTTTATCTAAATTTAGTTTTTTTGTCAGATACTGAATGTTCGGGCCCTTAAAAATGATTCAAATGAAATAATCCGAGAAACCCCTCTATGGTGGATCTGCTCACAAATTAGTGACACATGCACCGATACACTGGTTTAATTTGCAGTATAATATGAATTTTTCATATACTGCCATATAGTAATATTCCATTACATTGATTTTAACAAACAAATCTGAATTTTGAAGTCTGAAATTACAAAATATAACTAGTAGTGTAATTCATTACTGTTGCAGTAATAATGTTACTTTTGAAGAGTAACGAGTAATAAATTGCATTTTTTGAGTAACGACGCCCATAACAAACCTATAAAAAGGCCCTCATGATGCATGAAATCCACAAAATGCCGTAGTATCAGAATTTTAAAAACTACTGTCATATGAACGTTTGATCATACTTCCCAGCCCTAATACATGCAATGTCACAAACAGGCATTACTTAATTTTAAGGTATAATATGGTTAAAAAGTAAGGACTCACTCCTCTACAGCAACATAAAAATGTCCTGCTTATAAAACTACAGCAGGCTCCAGGTAGGGTTCAGTAGGCTTTCTGGATACAGCATTTTGTAGGAGCTCTGAAGGATTCTGTTAAAGCCAAAAAGGATTGATATGGACTGATCCATAACACATACTACTGAGGAGTGTTAAGTACTAAATGCCTCAGTCAGATTCCTAGTAGGGCTACAACTAATGATTATTTTCATTATCAACTAATCTGTCTATCATTTTCTCGATCAATCATTTAGTTTTTTGGTCCATAAAATGGTGAAAAATGTCGATCACTGGTTCCCACGGTGACGTCCTCACACGTCTTGTTTTGTCCACAACCCAAAGATATTCAGTTTACTGTCACAGAGGACTTAAGAAACCAGAAAATATTCATATTTGAGAAGCTGATATCAGAGAATTTGGACATTTTTTAAATTATTTTCATTCATCTCTAATCTGTAGTCTTGTATTCTTATTCTTTGATCAGTAGTTCATGATTTGAATCAACATTTTGCCAGTTTTAGACTGATTTATTTATGCAAGTTCTTTTACAGCTGATGCATAATAATAAAAAGGTTTTTTATATAGAAGAACGGGTTTATATTTCAAGAAACATAATGTGTTGGTATCAATGCAAATCATACATCTAGGATCAAAATATTTCAAAGAATACGCTACCCTTGGTACAATTTTAGAAGCCCGTATTGTTATAATAAGCCCTTCTGTTCCTAAGAGTGCACTGTACTCATTAATGCCCACCACAATCTACCAGCCACATCATCCATGAACATCACACTCGAAGAGTCAGTTGGCCAGTAACACTACAAGTACAAGATAATTAGTGTGAGTGTCGGCAGTGAATCATTGTGCCGTTGTCCCTCATGATGCCAGATGGAACAATAGCCACTGAATTCAACCCATGTTCCTGTTAAAGCCAACAAACAATTGTTTTTTTTTTTAAAGATATCTGGCTTGCAGTCAAATAGCACCAGGTTGGAAACAACAAACTGTAGCATCTATTGGAAACAACCTGCTTTCATTTGAATACTTTGGAGGATGAAATCATCTCTACGTTTGCACTCAAACACCTCTAGAACTGGCGTACTCCGCTCCCAGCTCCCAGCATTCACCTTGCTTACACCAGGAGCTCCCTGCAATAATTGATGCACCCTCTCCATGGTTACCTGCGGGTGTTTTAAAGGCCAGACCAGTATCAGGTTCTCTGTGTTGGAGGGGCCACACGCTGTGGGCACCACCAGCCTGATCATACACACTCCACCCTGGTTTACATGTGCAGAGTAGCGGGAGCACAGCCAGAAAACTAACCTAATGCAAATATCTCAACTGTGATGAGAGATATTCAAATCTGAGCACTCAGACAATAGACAATAGATATTGTCCGACTGCAGCTCGAGGTAAAATAAAACGCTTTTCATGCACATGTTGTGCAGATCTTCGTTTATAATCAAGAGAGAACTCACCTGGCCACAACTTCATTGTCAACTTTTACGATGCAGTATGGATCACTGGTCCCGGAGCTGGAGATGACAAGAGAAAGATGGGACAACATGAGACATACTAGAGTAGTTAAATTGCCTTTTGGTAAGATTCATTTAATTTTACTCATGCTGAGGTCATTTTAAGGAGATAAACCTGTCGAGCTCACCTCTAAATGAGTTTAGAAGAGACAACGTAGCAGGAATTGGCGTTTAAAATGTAGGTTCAACTTTTTTTTCTCATTTAACTAACCCGATGAGAAGCTAGTAAACAATGTTGAGGCGGTCTATATTCTGAGAGCTAAGCACAGACGCACATGCCATTCACAAATTACTTACACGTCTTTGGCGGGGAGGTTCCTGCCCTCGACAATTCTGAAATAAAGAGATGTGTTTTTGGCCATTTTTTATTAATTTTTTTGTAGTCGAGGGAGCTATTAATCCAATTCCTCCTATGTTCCCATACGCGCTCTTATAAATAGTGCTCTTCCCCTCCGCAAGTGAGTTTTCTTCATTTCATGGCACCTTCGGCGCGTGACGGCGCACAGCCCACCAGTAGCGCGCGACACAGGCGCGCATGCAGCCCAGTCAGACCAGCAGGTTGGACACAGTGTGTGTGTGTGTGTGTGTGTGTGTGTGTGTGTCTGTGTGTGTGTGTGTGTGTTGTGTTTTTTTTTTTTTTTTTGTGTGTTGTTGTGTGTTTTTTGTTGTTGTGTTTGTGTTTCTGTGTGTGTCTTTTTGTTTTTAACTGGACCAATGTATGAAACAGCACGTGTGTCCATTCTGAAATAAACATGATGGGAAAAATAAACAATATTAACAACAACAAGCCCGCTGAATAAATAAATAAATTTAATATTTCACATTGTTTGCAATCTCTTAATTGCTGACATTATTTCCTTTTTTTTTTTTTTTTTTTTTTAGCTGCGTTGTTGTACTAATTAGTAATCTCCGTAAACGTATGGCCATACCTGGTGAGCGTGTGGTCCTCTTCTTTTGATACAATGCGCCACCTGGCGTACACATTGAGCTACTGCACGCGTAATTACAGACAGGCATCTTGACAGCCAGCTACTTTAGGGGTCCTCCGTAGTGAATGAGAAGCTAATAAACAACGGAGCAAACTCTGAGCTAAAACACTCATTTTCTCCCTTTATGTCTGTTTTAGAAACTTTAAACCGCGTTTTGTTCACTTGGAAACACCAGTAGAAGCAGGGCAGCCTCCTATAAATCGCCAAGTTGTCTTATTTCTGTGAACTTTTAACTGTATAATAGTTTGATTAGTTAGCCCAAGCAGGTACTTGCAGCTAGTTGAATGTGTGCCGGGTAAAGAGATGGATGGTTATCCAGGAGTTCTTGGAGCTGACTCTACAAAACAACAGGAAAGACATTACTACCTTTTATCTGAACTGCAAACCTTAGTCAAAGATTTACCAAGGTGATGTTGTCCTACCTTTCAGGGCCAGTAAATGCCTCAGTTTTAAGTTTGGGCCACTTATAACTGCAGTTTTGTTGATTCTTGTTTTGTTTCCATCCATCCATCCAACAGCTCCTTCCAGCAGCGCCTCTCCTACAACACGCTGAGTGACCTGGCTCAAGCACTCATAGATGGGACGGTGTATGAGATTGTGCAGGGGCTCCTGGATATTCAGCATCTGACAGAGAAAAATCTGTACAACCAGAGGCAAAAGCTGCACGGCGAACACCAAGGTTTGTGTTCTGCAAGCCCATGCCTGTTAGGAATCCCCTTCAAAAGCAGGAACAGACCCGTAGCTTGTAATTGTAAATGTCAGTGGGATGCTTGACTGGTTTTTCTTTGTGTGTGTGTGTAGCACTCAAACAAGAGCTTTTACGGAAGAACAAAGACGCTCTGCAGTCATGCAAGTCTCACAACCTTGCGCTTCTCAAATCCAACCAACAAGCAGAGATAGAGGTGAGACACTGGAGTCCTTATACCTCACACTGCTGACAGGGTTGTAGGTTATTTCTGTTTTTTCTAACAGTTGTGAGTTTTTTTTTTTGTTATCAGGCTCTGGAAATCCGTGTGCGAGAGGAACAAAGAATGATGGATAAGAAGATTGTTGCGGAAATGGATCAAAAAGTGATAGACCAGCAGAACACCCTGGAGAAGGCTGGAGTCCCTGGGTTTTATATCACCACTAATCCTCAGGTTAACATCTCCACCTGTCTCCACCTGTCCACTCACTGTAGCTCAAATGCACTACTAACACCACAAATTGTAGGGTCACACATAATACGTGCACTTGTGATGCAGATGCATGTCCAGAAGATGGCGATGTGTGTCCTAACCAACGGCTCTTCAACTGTTTCAGGAGCTGACGATGCAGATGAACCTACTTGAACTGATCCTCAAGCTTCAGCAGAAGGAGTCTCAGTCTGGATTCCTTTGAGAAAGAGGTCTAATTGTGCTAAAAGAGAGACAGGAAAAAGAAAAGGATTGGCCACAGAGGATGTATGCTCACATTTGTGTCGGGCAACGTGTGGTATTGGTCTCTTTGGGAAAGGTTCACTTGTTGTTATAAGTGTAATATTCACCATCAAAACATGCAGGAGAAGGCTTGTTCTCCAGTGTTCAAGTAGGACGTTTCCAGTCCTGGAGGAGAGCAGAAGCAGTCTGGGACAACATAGAATGTAAAGCACTTAAATGCCATGTTACACATTGTGAAATTAGGAAGTTGTTGAAGGATGCAGTGTATATACACATTGAAGCAGAGCAATGAGAGAGAAGACTCTGCCAGAAATTAAACTGTGGAGGGTTGATTTGTTGCCCGAGGACAAATTTTTCTGTAACTGGAATTAATGTTGTGACCTTCCTGCAATGAGATTGTCTCTCCATAAGAGCCTCCTGATGCCTTTGGGGAAAAGTAATATTTTATTGCTGTGTGTGTGTACACAGAGAACAAACTGAGCAGCAGTAGTCACAAAGCTGAAACCTGTAACCTTCCCCAAATGTCTTCCGCGAGGGTGAAAGCAGGTTTGTGTGAAAACCTGCTCTTTATTTAAATCGTCCACTGAATACAGCTACTGCCGGCCTCAGGATGTCAATTTCAAATGTGTAAACTAGAAACAAGGTGTGACATGTGTCAGCTCCAGTGATCTGGCTCTGCTATGAACAAACTTTATTGTTTATTTGAACAGTATTGTGAAACGTTTCCTACTTTATTTTTTTCTACCATTGTGTATAATATTTTTTTTTTAATCTATTCAGTTTCTTTTGGTTGTGTTTATACGACGGGTGCACATTACTGTCCCACATAAATAAACAAATAAACAACAATGAACAATTTAGTTAATGATATGAGGTACAGTATGGACTGTAGCATCAACTGTTAGTATGTCCATTATATGAAGATCTGTTTTCATAATACAAATGTCAAACTAAATGTTGTCTTCTGTAAATAATTTAACAGAATTGAGTGCTGTAAAAAGCCAAATTGTGTAGCACTGGGTTCCAAAACAATTTCACTGGGAGGCTGCCACTGCTCAACACTTCATTTAGCGCCAATTAACTTAGGGATCGTTTGATTGGATGAGGCTGAACAGACTATTGCCCCTGTATTTATCTGCACATTGGTTATTTTCTTCACCAGTAAGGCATGACCTTTGAAATGTTGGTGTTTCCTTTAACCAGACTATAAATCTCATCAACACATTGAATTGGTAACATTACTGGCAGACCTGGGCCTATATTGTGTCTTAGATTCTGATGGATATGTTCTCCTATCACATCAGTCTTCTTTACACTCATTACTATATGTGTAAGATTATTATGATCACACATAAAGGCTGTGTGGTGAGGCACCTGACTACATTGTGATCTACTATGGCCCTATATCTCCGGTTGTCCTCCTGGCTGTTCCTTGGTATAAAAGCTGGAGTTGACTTCTGGACACAGGATTCTGTTTTGTGTTGTATTTGAATTTTGTTTTTATAACATCCATTTGTCAGTTTAACCATTGAAATACCATTTTACTGTGAACTGTTTACAGTGGTGGAAATACATTTACTTAAGAATTGAACATGCCACCACATGAATTTTATTAGTTACATTAAAACACATTTCTTGGATTTTATGCATCATACTGTGAATTTTCCCCCGGTCAATATTTTTGCATATTCCTGCAAACTGAACAGCTCTTCATTTATTTATTTCAATAATGCTCATATTGTACACATTGTCTCCTTTCATATTTGTACATATTGTCTCTATTTTTTTAATTCATATTTTTCTATGTTGTTATGCACCACTATACCAAGACAAACTCCTTGTATGTGTAACTCTACTTGGCAATAAAATCCATTCTGCCACTGATTTGTTTTTACTTACTTAAGCTGCTTACTTTGTGTATGCTACTTATACAGCCTAATGCATGATTCTCAAATGTGATCACATTCATATTCAGCGCCCGCATGCAGTCCGGGGACTAACCCCACCCACCCCCTCCAACCCTGGGACCCCTGGCTCCAGATAATCTCCTCTCCTGCTGTAATATGGGCGGGGCGCAGTGGGGAAGCCCTTCCAGCAGGAGGAGAAAGGTGACTGTGCCTTTAAGAAGCAGTCCGGGCAGTGCATGTTGCTTTTATTCCTCAGCGCACCTTCTGCTCCATCACCAGCCGATGCGACCCGGCAACTTCTAGCAGCCCCGGACCCGCAGCGCACACATGCCCGACCCTCCACAACAACGGTAAATGATTACATTCCCTATGTTATAACTGCTTATAATTCTCTTCTCGTGGCTGTAAAAGGGAATTCAGTTTCACACCTGCGACGTGGCTCCGCATTTCCACAACATCCAGGAGAGAGAGAGAGAGAGAGAGAGAGAGGAAGTCTAACGATCCTCTTTTTAGCGTTTCCATTTTGTTATAAATAATTTATTTGGCATTATAAAGACGCTTAGTGTGCTCTCTCTCTCTCTGTGTGTGTGACCTTGGATATATCCTGGAAACGAATATACACAGTGAACGAGCCGTGTAGTTTATGGCACTGGTCTTATTTCTAGAGGGGGAATAAAGCGTTACGTAATTATAACGGAGGCATCCTGTTGTCGCCATATGCCTGTCGAGGGGCAGGAATCGGATGTTGCACCGCCCGGGCCGGGAAGATAAATACTGCTTCTCGGGGATGAAAAAGCGCTCAACATTTTGTCGGCAGTCAAACAAATCAAACATATCTCCCATCGTGACTGCGCTTGAGGCTTTTATTTTACGCACGGGCGCACCGGATGCCTTTAAGATGACGTGGGCCGGCCCGGTGCGGAGTGATGGATGACCAGTGGCACACATTAAGGCCTCATTGCAAAATCTAGATAAGGCAGATCAACTGAAAGTGTTGAATAGACAGAGAGACTACATCTTAAAAAGGCTGACTGACTGGGATTATTTTATTTTTTTAAATGATTTACTGCAAGTAAATATGTTTTTACATCTACTTACAAAGTATATCGTTACTATTGTACTGCTAATACAACCAGAAATGTAATATTTGGGTCTAATGTATAAAAGAATTCAGGAGATCTTATTATAATGACTTTAAAATTGTGTTAAATCCAAATTACATTACATGTCACCATTGCTGTCATTACACAGGCTGCAAGGATGAAGACATCATTTCCTTAAATATAGAAGCTATTCTTTGAGTAAATTGGATTAGTATAGATTGGTTCTTCACATATGTGTCTATCAGCATTGTGTAAAATGTTTTGAGCCAAACACCAGACCTCATCCTGCAGACCCTATACCACAGTATGTCCAGCAAAGTGCATTAACCACCATTCTGAGTTTACTGATTTGACCTGAATGTGGAATATCCAGCAGCTCAAGTCAAACCTGCACTAGCCTTTCTTCTTCTGATGTGTGCCTTTCTCTTGCAGGTCAGCTTCATAGACAGGTAATGGACCCAGTGTGATTGTTACAACGCCATCCTGCCCAGCTGGCCTGTCTATGTCCGAAACTATGGCGACTTGTCCGAGAGGCTGCACCCCAGCGGTGCGCCTTTGTCAGAAACTGAACCGACTCAAGACACTGGATGATGACATGATGGCCACGTCGCTGAAACGCTGCCTCTCCACCCTGGATCTGACTCTGCTGGGAGTCGGCGGCATGGTGGGCTCCGGGCTTTACGTCCTGACTGGAACAGTGGCTAAAGACATGGTCGGGCCTGCTGTCATCATATCTTTCATTTTTGCAGGTATTGCGTCTCTACTGGCCGCCTTTTGTTACGCAGAGTTTGGAGCACGCATTCCCAAAACAGGATCCGCCTACATGTTTACCTATGTCTCTGTAGGAGAGATCTGGGCCTTTCTCATTGGTTGGAATGTGATTCTGGAGAACATGATTGGTGGCGCTGCCGTGGCACGCGCCTGGAGTGGCTATCTGGACTCCATTTTTAACCACGCCATCCAGAACTTCACGGAGACACACATCATGCAGTGGAACGTGCCCTTCCTTGCCCATTACCCCGACGTCCTTGCAGCAGGGATTCTAATAGTTGCCTCGTTCTTCATCTCCTTTGGAGTTCAAGTGTCCTCTTACCTCAACCATATCTTCTCCATTATTAGTATGGCCGTCATTGTTTTCATCCTGGTCTTTGGCTTTATGCTTGCTGAACCAGCCAATTGGAGCCAGAAAGAAGGAGGTTTTGCACCTTTTGGGCTGTCTGGAATACTGGCAGGGTCAGCCACGTGCTTCTACGCGTTCGTGGGCTTTGATGTAATTGCGTCCTCAAGTGAGGAGGCAAAGAACCCACAGAAAGCCGTTCCCATTGCCACTGCGATCTCCCTCGCATTGGCTGCAACAGCTTACATCCTGGTATCCACAGTGCTCACGCTAATGGTACCCTGGCATACACTGGACCCCAACTCAGCTCTGGCAGACGCTTTCTTCCGCCGTGGTTACAGTTGGGCAGGAGTGATTGTGGCAGTAGGTTCCATCTGTGGTGAGTGTCAACTTTTAATTGAGAAGGACAGTTCAAATGTCTGTTACATGGTTGCATTGTAGTATTGCACAGTGCTACATTTTGACTTTATGACTCTCTGTTCCCATTTCTAGCCATGAACACAGTGCTGCTCTGTAATCTCTTCTCCCTCCCTCGGATTGTGTACGCCATGGCAGAGGACGGGTTGTTCTTCTCCATTTTTGCACGGGTCAATCCTGTCACCAAAGTCCCTGTCAATGCTATATTGGTCTTTGGGGTCCTCATGGCCACCATGGCTCTCATCTTTGACCTGGAGGCCTTGGTTCAGTTCCTGTCCATCGGCACCCTCCTGGCGTACACCTTTGTGGCAGCGAGCGTTATTGTGCTGCGCTTCCAGCCTGAGAAAACCAACTGCAAGGGAAGCGCTTCCACATCTCCCAACCCCAATGCCGAGCCTTCCCCTGCCCCCTCAGAGTCTCAGACCATAGCCGAGGACAGCGGGGAGCTGAAGCAGTACGAGTCCTTCTCTGACAAACTCCAGCTGGTGGAGAGGCAGACGATGAGAGAGCGGCGTGGGGTAGGGCAGCTGAAGGCCTACTGGGAACCCTACCTGGGCAGGCTGGTGGGGGACTGTGAGCCGGGCGAGGTGGTGGCTTTCAGCGTGCTGACTCTGATCGTGAGCTCGGTCTCCCTCTGTGCTGTGATAGAATTTGGAACCAAACAGCTGCAGCTGCCGATCTGGAGCTTCACCATGCTGCTGGTGATTTTTAGCTTAGCTTATGTTCTCAGCCTGGCGCTCATATGGATTCATGAGCCACAAACCAACAGCAAAACATTCCAGGTCAGCTCTTTTATGGTTTTTACAACTATAACGCAACTATATGTGTAATATGGTGATTGAATACTGCGGTCATTATTTCAGGACAGGAAATCTGAATGAAATAAATACATCTATTTGAAGCCAAATGTTATTGTGTGCATAAATGATGATAGGTGTATGACTGATCTTTCATTTTAATGTACAGGTACCTTTGGTTCCATTGACTCCAGCTGCCAGCATCCTCTTTAATGTGTTCCTCATGATGAAGCTCAGCTCTTTAACCTGGATTCGATTCACCGTATGGATCGCTATAGGTAAGAAGGCACCAGACCTTATGGGAAACATAGTGGCTGAATAAAAAACTGTTGTTTCAGTGTTTCTCAAACAGATTCCTGCTCAACTTTAAAGGTGAGAAATTTGATTTACTGTAAGCACTGGGTATATATAAGTTGTTAAGGTCATTTTGGTTACTTAAAGGTAGACAAATCCACAGTGCAAACATCATGTGAAATGAAAAGTAGTTAAAACATCTGCCTTCTGCTGCTTGTGAACTTAATGTACACACGTGTTACGTCATCAGATTAAACATTTTCTGCTCTCTTAATGAAATAGAGAAACTTTTCCCTTTTGTCAGCAACCCTCTGAGGATGTAGATGGTGGTCGGGCAGCGTTAATGCCCTGTCAGTAGGCGGGGGATCACTGGGGAAACATGATTAGCTGCATTAGCTTAAGGGTTCTCTGGACCAGTAAACCATTTAAACACTGCTGTCAGACTGCAGCAAGTTAACAAGATGCACACGCATGGAATAGTACACTTGACAGGGCCCTTGGCTGGGCTCTTTTCGGTTCCCTGGAGAAAGGAAAGAAAGAAACGGCCACTTACCTTCCATAATGGCCACTGAAGGACGAAAGCGTGGGATTTCTTCATTCCACTCAGAGATTGGGTTGAGTTAAAGCCAAGTAATCAATATCACATCAAAGAGTAAATTCAAATTGAAAAAAGTACTGTATAGTAAATATAAAACTTTAGACATATTAAGGGCTTCTGAAATACAGTAAATAATTTTTTACCTAATAGCAGCAATGAAAAAGTCGGATCTGGTGACATCATCAAAATTAAATTTGTCTAATACTTTATGACGAAATAAATGACTATATATGCAAAACCAATGACAGTCCTGTCAGCTCTAGTTTGTGTTTTAGAGCTGCAAATATTTATAAATTAGCCAATCAACTGGAAAATAATTGCCATGTAGTTTGATAATCGATTAATGTTATTAAGTAATTTTTCATACAAAAATGGCAGAAAATGTTTTATACCCTATTAAACTGAATGTCTTTGGATTTTGAACTGACAAAACAAAACATTTAAAGGCATCACCTCGAACATTTTTCACTATTTTCTGACATTTTATAACAAAACGATTGATCAGTCAGTCATAATCAGCAGAACAAGAATAATCATTAGTTGCAGTCATATTGTGTTTATTGCTAATTAGCAAATGTTAGCATGCTAAACTATGATTGTGTTCAACATGTTAGCGTAGTCATTGTGAGAATGTCTACATGCTGACTTTAGCATTTAATATATATTAATATTAATTTATTTCATTTAAAAATACATACAACAACAACATAAACAGGAGAAGCACAACAGCATAAAAAAAACATAGTGTGCCATTGGAAAAAGGGAGAAAAAAAGGGGGATGGGGGGGTGATAGATCGCGGATTAAAAGCAGATTTTAATACATGGGTTTTGAGTGTGGTTTTGAAAGATGGGAGTGAGGGAGAATGTCAGAGGTGTTGGGGGAGTTCTCCAGATGGAGGGGGCAAAAATTGTAACACCAAAGCTCTTATAATAAGTCTGTCCATGGGTTGTTATAACACATATACATTGAATAACATAAAAGTCATCAACATCTCACTAACCAAACCTTTTAATCCCATGCGGAGACACTTCTCTCCCTACTCATCTGCGTACAGCATGCCCAGACTTTAATTTTGAATCATTCCAGTTACAAATGTTTCTTACTGTCCCTTTCCCAGGTCTGTTTGTGTATTTTGGCTACGGGATCTGGCACAGTAAGGAGGGCATGCGGGAGCTGCAGCCCAAAGACATGGCCGCCCGGTACGTGGTGCTACCCAGCGGCAGCCTGGTAGAGACAGTGCAGCCTGTCCAGCCCGATGGACAAGTGGACCACATCAACCCCTCGACTGCCTCGACAGCTGAGGAGTACGCAGGAAAGAGATGATGTGTGACCAAACATAGTCAGTACTACTGCCTGGTATTATCTGTTGTCTACCACTCATACGCTGTACTATTACTCGTGTACTCTCTGTATCTCTCACTTCCTTTAGCGTGGGACCCCGCCTGCCACAGTCTGTACTCGTTGCTCTGCAAATGTAAGCACACCACAGGGTGGGATGCACGCTCTCTGTCTCGTTGTGAAGCATATTTGTATATCTTGTAATACTCGAATGTACAGTAGAGAGCTTTATTACTGTCCTGTAAACTCCTAGCATCAACGTTGTGTTATATCCTTTAAGACCAGCTCTTTTCTTGCAACCTTGCCAGTTTGTCAGGATCCACATGGTTATAGGTTCAATTCGGTGCTTACTTTGTGACAAATGGTACTTTTAGTTAAATACACTCAGTGTTGTTGTTTTTTTTTAATGTTAACACAGATCTGGAGCTGGAAAATCAACATTCACCAAAACTGTCATTTTGTCAACAAAGTGGAATGCAACACTGCATTTTTGAAGATATCATTTGAGCATCTTAAGCATTCATTTGTTGCATGTTTTCTTAGGTAAGCAGAGGAATGCACAGACTTTTGTGAGTTTACATTTTTGCCTTTTTCTCAAATTCTTCTCCCCAAAGACAGGCTCTAATCAGTTGGATCCTCTTAGTCCATCTCCTCCTTTTATTACTCATAGATTCCCCTAAGTATAGTGGTTTCTGGCAAATTATTTAATCCCATATTCTAAAATATGTATTTATTTTTCTATTATTACTAATGATATCTTGCTTTCATTCAGATTTCATTACCTTTTTTTCCTGAGTTTAATGTTTCTGCCACTGTCAGTTTTGTTATACATGTTTTACCTCTTTTACGTTCACCTTTTAAGTGGCTGAGCAACCCTTCAGTGCTTGACTTAATCTCCTAGATCTTGTCCCATGACCCTGTTTTTTTTGTGTCACTGATCTTGCACAGTCTTTTCTCACGGACAGCAGCCCTCTCTCCTTCTCCCCTGTTGGCATGAGATTAGAAATCAAAGCACATAGATTACTGAGCTTTTACTTCATATGACTGATTTCCTGGGATAACCTGAGAGATAATTAGATTATTGGACACATAAGGAAAGCACAAACCTTTTGAGTGGGAATCTTCACGCACACAGGGTAGAATATTGGTAGGCAGGCAGACATTGGTTGGTCTGTTAAACCTGGGATGTGCTCCATCTCTGTGAGGCCTCCGTAATCCCAGCAGATTTGCAGCACTCCCTGTGGTCAGTCTGCAGCCTGACCTAGATTAGAGAAAGGCGGCACACATGTGAGAACACTCACATTATACTGATAACATTCCCACAGCCAACACTTGTAAACAACGGTGTCAATAAGTGAACATGAGGCTTTAGTTTTTCTTACATATAGGTAAATATACTTAAAAAATATGTTTTTATTCATTTCAGTTTGTGTTTGCATGTGTTACACAAGAAACCAATGGCCTTAAAGATGTTGTAATCAATGCAGACTGAATTCCAAAGTCAAAGTTATCAGTTTTAACAATTCATGCTTTCTAATTATTAAACCAAAACACAAACATGAAGAGATCAAACAGTAGGAGGCATTTTGGCATAATTTCCAAAAGGAGTCAGAGAATTTTGTACAACTTTGCACATTGAAAACTATTATCTGGTCATTTTGTGTCACAGTTATGCTTTCGATGTCAGGGCCAGTGATGGATATTGATACTGCGGTGCTTTTTTAAAGCTGAACGTTCTCACACCTCTTTCTCTGTCTGTTTTGTGCCAGGAAGCACAGTTATCCAATTCTTTTCTTACTCCTGAATAGAATTGTACTCTGTACTTGCACATTAAGTTCTTGAATCTTTCTGTTATAGTGTATGTCTGTATTAAATGCAAAAGACTGTGTTATACATGAAAAATAAATGTTTTGAAGCAGCATTTACAAAATTCTAAATTGTGGAATAATCTGACTGCAGTATCACCTCCGGGAATCGCATCCTACACATTAGCTTTTAGTTGGAGTGGGTACCAGCTGCTAGACTGTGTTTAGTCCAGAGGGTAGAATAAGACCTACACTACAACCAACATTGTTTCTGTCATAAACAACTAACATATAACACCCTTAAATATTCACAAAAAGAAGAAGACAACAAAAACAAAGGACACAAATTAATTCAACATGAAACCGGGACACACCTGGAATAAAATATAAGACAAACATATCATGCATAACATTTCTAGAATAATACAGGATAAAAAACGTTTAAAAAATAAGTTATTTCCATAGTGATCGTGGCAACAACAGGACTGCTGTGTCCCTACTACATATATGTAGTGCTATGAAGAGTAGATTACAGGACATTTTATGTTTAAATATTCATATGAGGAACTATCTAATGCTAACTTCTGGTGAATTTAGGATACATCTACAGATGCAAACAGATAAGTGTAGTAAAATATACACCTAAATGTATAGTTTAGCTGATTTCTTTCCACCAGTCTGATAGAAAACGTGTTATGGAAGCAAAATAGTCCAAAGTCTCAAAATTGACCAGTGCACGGAAAAACAAATACATTTACTCATCTTTCCTCTTTCTATTTCCTTTAATAAAACGGTTAACATCTCTTTTAAAAAAGTGTAATAGACTGAGTTTTTCAAATCATCTGTTAAACTGTTCTAAATTTTTACTCCCACACAATAAATATGTAGGAGTTTTGACTGGATTTTGACTATGTCTGGCATTATGCTGGTCTCTACTGACTTACTGCTCAATACTAAACCCTTATTAGCAATTGTAACCATTTTATTGATTTCAAATCTCTATTTATTATGTGTTTTTTTTATTTCAATCAAAAATGTATATATGATCTTATTTTGTATAATTTCCCTTTTGCTGCTTGGAGAGACCATAGAGATTACATGTATAGTCATTTCTTGATGTCTATTTTTAAGTAAACTTTAAACTTCTGGACATCTTTTAAACCAGAGACATTTTGATTAAATAATCCATCCAAGTTCTTGACATGTAAAATGCTTTGGGCATTTTTTGCCTTTATTTGGATAGTGACAGTGTGAAGATAGAAAGGAAACTGGGGCGAGAGAGAAAGGGAATAACACACAGCAAAGGGCTTCGGGTTGGCATCGAACCCAAATAACTGTGGTGAAGACTCAGCCGTTGTATATTGGGCCCCAAAAGTACTGATTAGTTTATCAGTACAACAGCAATTGTCTCTTCATTGCACAACTTGATTTTCGAATATACATGACACACCAACAGGACTAAATGCCATATAAGCAGCACTGATATAAAGAGCTTAAGACTAACTTCAATTACATGCTTGATGACACAACTGTATAGTTAAACCAATTTAGGGCTTAACCCTTCGGGTCATGTGCTGTCGTTTAAGTGAATGAAATGATAGATCAGGTGTTTGTTCAGTGAGAGTTTGCAGTTTGTTGTGTTCAGTATTTGACAGGTTGATGAACACACAGCTACAAGAACAAATACAAAATGTGTTTGACTTCAACAGCTCTGACACAAGCTAAGTCTCTTGGGCTCCCTATTAGACTCAGATTACACAACTGAGCTCCTGACATCTCAAATTTCAGCTCTGCAAAACAAGCCTCATGACGTGTGGTGCAAATCCAAAAATGAGAAGCGTCAACTCACAGTGATCTGCAGTATGTGTTCATCTTCATCACTATTGAGGATTTACTGATTTACTGGTTATCTTGGAGGGACTGAAATAAAAGGTCTGTGGTGATTCAGCAGAGCATGAATACTGCAAGCACTTGCGTTTCCATGGAAACTCTCATTCCCCACCTTTGTCAGATATAAAGCACTATAAAAGCTGTCAGCACACCTGTCCCTGTGTCTTTGTCTGTGTGGCATTCAAGGTTGTACAAACCGCCCATTTACTCAGAACCATGTGACTCATCCGCTGGGAAGGTTACCCATTCAGATACAGGTTTGTTTGCAGATCATATATCCCGAAAGCTAATATGCAACAGCCACCAACGCACTGTTTTAATAGCAGTCAAATAATAGTCTTATTTCTATATATCCGCAGTAAGTTTATTATAGTTATATTCATATACACATAATGAGATAGCACTGGTAACTGTCATAAGTGTACATAATGACATGACATTAATGTAGGGAAAGTGCCTTTATGAGCCACGTAGCTGTTGCCTTATACAAAGCCGAGTTCTTTCTCTCTCCATCTGAAAGACTCAGTGTTTCATTTCCTCCTCTGATTCGAGCTCTTGGAGTGAGAGAGTAGAGAACCACTGCGTGTTCTCGTGTGGCTCTTAGCAGCGGCGGAGCCCGAGTTGAGGTGGAGGGTTTGAAGGTGAAGTTGCATGGACGAGGGGGAGGCGGCGGCGGTGGACACGCGATCCTCCGACCCAGCTGACTCCAGACCACTTTCCCCCCGTCTTGCTTCCTTCCCTCTGTTACTGTATCCCAGCCGCGTTGCACTGCTGCTCTGTCTGTGGTACAAAGGAGGAATAAGGCCATAGTGGAAACACGGTTGGACGATTAAGCATTTATAAAAATGGATGCTTCTGTAACATTTCTAACAAATCGAACTTACAAGCGGCTGTTCTGTGTTTGTGTCGGGTGATTTTGTTGTTTTTCTGCTGTAGTGCTGAGCAGAGGTGACGTCTCCTAGTGATAAAAAAAGTTTTCATATAATTTTCAAAAATCCACAAAACCAACATCTAACAGCTGAATGTACTTTTTCTTCAAGTTCATTCATGTGTAATACACATAAATTCACATATTCTCACACATGTAAATTTGAATCCGTCCTACCCTGCCGGCATCATTTTGTGTCCTTTCCCTCAGTTTCACAAGGCTGGTGTGCAGGGTGATGTTTTCCTGCTCCAGAACTTTCATACGAATGTTATTTGCCTGCAATTGTCGCTCCATATCCAAAAGCACGTTTCCCGTACCTTGAAAATACGCAATAAACAACATGGAAACACTTACAACATGACTGCAGTACTAAAAAAAGGAGACAGCTAGGAAATAAATGACCAGATACATTATTCATGCTTTGTTTTTCCGAGTCGTGCGTGTGGTTTCTGTGTGTATACCAAAGAAAATGAAGCTAGCTGGTGCAAACACCACTGAGTTTTATGTACATAAGTTTAGGTAATGTCAGTCAGTGGGTAATTCATGCAAGACACTAATATTTTACAGACAGATAATAAATAACTGCCTACTCTGTGGTTGGGCCTGCAGGGGGCTGAGCTCTGGGAACGCCACCAGCACCCTCTCCCTCTCCATCAAGGTTTGCACGTATTCCTTCAGCTCAGCCACGCTGTTCTTTAGCTCGCCTACGTGTGTTTCAAGTGTCTGCTTCTCCTTCTGGAGCTCTAAACACAGGTCCTGTTGAAAAGAAGCATCACAGCATGAGGTTTAAAAGTCTTTATTATGGAAAATGCTGGCCGTTTGGTACTAAAGGCCTACCTGCTGTTGAGCGAGCCGGGCCTGCACTTTTTCCTTCTCCTCTGACACCTGTTGTAGCTGATTGTGCAGGTCGATCTGTCTCTCCTCTCTTTCTCCCAACTGCCTCTGCAGCTCTTCACACTCTTCGTCGAGAGCGTCAACTCTCTTTAACAAAGATGTCTGCTTGGCCTGCATTGACTGGATGCACGACAACAACAACAAAAAAGAGTCCGTGGTGGGGGGGGGGGTCATGGTCTCCAGCTGGAAACAACAAATAATCCTGTGTTTGTCATGACACTGACCTCTTGCTGGCGACAGGCGCTGTGGTACTTGGCGGCCTCTTTGTCAAGGTTGAGCTGAGTGTCTGAGATTTGACTCTCTAGCTGCTGGATCCTTTGCTGTAGTTTACAACGGGCGTCTTCCTCAACGTGAAAGGTCCTCACTTTCTCCTGCAGCACATTCTTCTCACATTCTAGCATAAAATAAAGTGACATATCACACATATCAGGTCATTTTATGTGTATGACTAAAACATTTCATACAATTCTGCAAACTATGAATATTAAAAGAAGGGTTGCTTGATGGTAAACTGTCCTTACCAAGTGCTTCTAATGTGTCTTGCTGTACTGCTACTTTCTCTTTCAGTCTGGAATTACTCTCCTCCAAGCTCTGAGTTTCTGTTACAAAAGTATTAAAAATATTAGTAGTGTGATCTCACCGAGTTCCCATCACATTCATTTGTGAATCTTCTGCACCTCTCCTGAGTTGTTGCTGCTCCTCTTGCAGCCTTTGCTCTGTTTCTTTCATTAATCTCTGTGCTTTCCGCAGTGAAAACTCCAGCTGGACTATGTTTGCTTGGTGTTTTTCCGTCTGATCCCTGAACTCTTTCTGGGCTCTTTCCAACCGAGACCTCAATCTCTCCCGCTCCGCTTCTGCTGCCGCTAGTCTTTCATTTAGAGGCTGCACCGTACCCCGCACATCTTGAAGGTGCTTTGCCAGCCGGCGCAGGTCCCTGAGCTGCTCATTGGCCCACTGGGCGACATCACCTGCTGTCATATGTCCCAGCTCCAGGGTGTCCTCCACTGCTACTAAGAGCGGCTGAAGAGATGAGGGCAGGCCCTCACTCTGGAACAGTTCTATCAAAGCATCTCCTGTTTTTCTCAATAAGGATTGGACTTGGTGACACGCATCGCAGGGAGCGAGGGATGATTCAACCGTCTGGCAGCTTACATTGTGGCTGTCGACTTTAGGATAGCTGTTGTGGCTAGGGCTGGAGGGTACGTGATTCTGGGGGAAAACTTGTGGTGAGGAGCTTTTTGAAGACCGGGCAGATGAGCAATGTCTGCAGAAGTCACTCCTTGAGCTCAGTTGGAGGGAGACAGATGACGCCGTCTCATCACTGTCAAATGCCTTTTCTTTTGTCTGCTTCTTGATGTCTTTGTAGCCCCCCTAAAAGAAGATTGGAAAGAAACTATCTCCATCAGTTTGTTAATATTTTAAATTGTTTTATCTTCACTTAAATCAAGCAGTTTGCCTACCTTAAGGCTGGCAAATTGGACTAAATTACTCCAGTAGTTTCTGACAATAAGACCAACTGACAGGCATCCTCTCTGCTGGGTTTGTTCTCTCCTGTGGCTGCAACTAATTTGCTCAACATAAGCATTGAAGCTTTGTAGAAGAAGGAGCAGTCTTGTCCAGGGAGAGCAGAGAGGAAAGACAAGGCTTGTGTTAGTCATTAAGAGATATTTGTTAATGTGACATATCTGTAAATCCATCACACTGTTTTAAAAAATGTAAATATCATCACTCATACACAGTCATGCATATATGTGTGTATGTGTGTGTTGTTATTGTTCTTCCTGTATACATGCCTATTTCTGTGTATGTACATTGAGAGCAATGTAAAACCTGAGTTAAATTACATGTACCTATATGTGTACCTGCTCAGCAGAAGTGATTTTAGGCTGTTCAATTTAATTCAAAGGGGCTTTATTGGCATGGGAAACATGTATATACAGATTATTAAGAAAATAATGAGAAGAAGAACTTAAAATAAAGTAGAAAAAAATATAAAAGTAGACCTAAACAAGTGAGAACTTTCATGTTGGGCAGCAAGATATGCCATCATCCATAAATCTGTGATTACAAAGTTTAATTTGTTAAAAAAAAAAAAATGTCCCTTATATTATTAAATGTTTTACATTGTAGGAGGAATTACCTGTCAATCACCAGCTCCAGTAACACAATGTGGGAGTGCTGGTTGAATGCATCCTCCCCATCCACAAAGTCATACTGCTCCAGTAGAACAACCATGTCCAGATTACAGGAGAGTTTATCGGGGAACTTCCAGGAGGAGAAGCGGACCGGTCCGGTTCTAGAAAAGACGTCCAGGGTCGCACCTTGAAGGTCGACGAGGTCTTTTCTGAGGCTTTCGATACAGTCCTGGCGGCCCAAGAACTGACTCATGTCTCACAAGCTAGCGTATAAACGTTTCTTTCTTGTTGTCTAAGCATCTCCCTGGCAACTTCGAAAGTAATACTACAAGTCCCATAATGCTTTGCGGCGTGTTTCCGGAAGTAGTAGACCTCCATTGGGTCAACCGAAGCGCGTCGCGGTGAGTTTCCAACTACTAGCAAATTTAGCCTTTTAGCCGGTATAAATTGCGTTTCCAACATAATATACGGTATAGTAAGTGTCTTTAAAATACGTATACTATTGTTGTCGGTTGGGTGTTTGTAGGTAACTTCCAGTTTCCCGTAAGAAGACACAGCCATGTCGCCTGGGCCTGTTCAAATTGTTCAGCCGGAGTCCAACAACAAGGTGATTATACCGCTGCAAGTTAGCAGTGGAGCTAACGTACTTCTACTGTGGGGGCAAAGTAATGAGCAGTTAACTTACACTTACTGTGAAATGTCTCTATGAATGTGAATTTTAGAGGAGCTACGGTCTGTCTTTGGATCACCACCACGAAGCGTAAAGCCTGTTTGTTAGATTTATTTGAGGTTGTTGGATGGAAGTTGAACTGCTGAGACTTTTTCCCTCCCTCCAACACTTCTGAGGAGTAGCAGAATTTGGTGTATTTGTTTAAAAAATATATATGATTTAGTGAATAGTAAGTAATCACTAACTTAACTGTAGACACCAGCTGACCATTATGCATGTTACAGTGAAATATGTGCATTATTCTCAGTAACCAAGATAATATTATACTAGAAAGCCGGAGCATAGTGAAGGGTAAACCCAAGTAAACTTACTAGCTTACTAATCTATTTCCAGATAAAGTGTATCTGTACTACACTTGATCCCTGCTAGGAAGTAATATTGCTCCGACTGCCACAAACTAAGATCCATTTATCCATTTTGTATCAGGATGGTGGCAGAAACATTACTGTCAGATAGCCCAAAACACCTGCAAACAAAACTAAAGCTGGAGTGATACCAAAAGGGTTAAAGGGGGTATTTTATGATTTGAGCTTATGTGTTGGTAGTGGATCAGGAATAGTAGATGTGACATGGCCATGGTACAAAGTCTGAATGCAATGGATGCTTGTTTTAAATTTTTTTAATACTATTTTCTTGCTTCTAACAAATGTAAATTTTGTCAACAGAACGATGCACCACCAGAAGAAACCCCGGCTACCAAACCCATCGTCGGTATCATATATCCGCCTCCTGAGGTCCGAAACATAGTCGACAAGACAGCCAGCTTTGTCGCCAGGTTAGTTATCCCATGTGTCAACTGTACAGTCTCAATTGGATCTTATGTCTTATGATTCAACTAATTCCGTGTCATTTTACAGGAATGGGCCTGAGTTTGAAGCAAGAATCCGTCAGAATGAGATCAACAATCCAAAGTTTAATTTCCTCAACCCTAATGACCCCTACCATGCCTACTACCGTCACAAAGTCAATGAGTTTAAGGAGGGCAAAGCACAGGAGCCGTCTGCAGCGGTGCCTAAGGTCATGCAGCAGGCCATGCAGCAGGCCCAGCTTCCTCAAAAAGTAAGACATTGCATTTCATTCTGCTCTTACTTTTAGGTTTTTTATTGCACATAATTTGCAGTATTTGTTACCTAACTAAAATAACTAATATTCTATATTTCTTTTTGTCAATAGGTGCAGGTGATTCAAGAGACAGTTGTCCCCAAAGAACCTCCTCCTGAGTTTGAGTTCATTGCGGATCCTCCATCAATCTCAGCATTTGATCTGGACGTCGTCAAGCTCACTGCCCAGTTTGTTGCTCGCAATGGCCGCCAGTTTCTCACTCAGCTCATGCAGAAAGAACAGAGAAACTACCAGTTTGACTTTTTGCGGCCACAGCACAGCCTTTTCAACTACTTCACCAAACTGGTTGAGCAGTACACTAAGGTGACCTGACAAATTGTGCCTGTCTGATATTATTGTTTCTCTTTGTTTGGGCGGTGTTGCTAAACTGTATCTCGATCCTGTCTTTCAACCTGTAGATTCTGATCCCTCCCAAAGGCCTACTGACCAAGCTGAAGAAAGAGGCTGAGAATCCAAGAGAGGTTATGGACCAGGTAATCCCCTTAAACTGTGACTTTATCAGACTAAGCACTTAAAAGCATGTTGCCCATGTTAATGAGCTGTTCTGCTGCACAACCATCAGGTGAGGTACCGCGTTGAGTGGGCAAAGTTCCAGGAGCGTGAAAGAAAGAAGGAGGAGGAGGAAAGAGAGAAAGAACGTGTGGCATATGCCCAAATCGACTGGCATGACTTCGTAGTGGTTGAGACGGTGGATTTCCAGCCCAACGAACAAGGTAATAAAACCACAATAATTCTAATCTATAAACGTGCAAGCTAAATGCAGCAGAACAGAATAATTTATCTGTATTTGGCATTTCTCTCTCCTCAGGCCACTTCCCCCCACCTACCACACCAGAGGAGCTCGGCGCTCGCATCCTGATCCAGGAGCGCTACGAGAAGTACGGAGAGAGCGAGGAGGTGGAGATGGAGGTTGAGAGTGAGGATGACGATGACGATCGGGAGGCTCGGAACAGCGGCCAGCCCTCACAACCTGATCAAGATACACAAGTGCAGGACATGGATGAGGTAAACTGTCCTTTTATGACCAATTGTAGGCTGCTTTATTGCAGTAATTTCATTTATTTATTGGTCTGTTGCCCCTGTTTTGGTGTAGCCTTTGTTTGCTCACCTTTAGCTTGACAAAGAAATAAAATAGGTGCTGGTAACCACATCTCATTCCTCCCTTCCTGCTTTTCTCAGGGATCTGATGATGATGATGACGGCATGAAGGCTCCACTGCCACCAGACAACCCTATGCCACCCCCACTGCCCCCAACTCCAGACCAGGTTATTATCCGCAAAGACTACGACCCCAAAGGTAACACATGCTTCTATTATATAAGCAAATTTCTGTGCATTACAAGCTATTACTATGTACAGTGTGTCTAATGTTGTCTTTTCCTCACAGCTTCCAAGCCTCAGCCCTCAGTTACAACTCCAGATGAGTACCTCATCTCGCCAATTACTGGTGAGAAGATCCCGGCCAGTAAGATGCAAGAGCACATGCGTATCGGTCTGCTGGATCCACGCTGGCTGGAGCAAAGGGACCGCAGCATCAGAGAGAGGCAGACCGAAGATGAGGTCTATGCTCCTGGTTTGGATATCGAGAGCAGCTTGAAACAACTGGCTGAGAGGCGTACCGATATCTTCGGTGTGGAAGAGACAGCCATCGGTAAGAAGATTGGTGAAGAGGAAATCCAGAAGCCAGAGGAGAAGGTGAGAGCAGTTGTTGGTTTGTGTTGCTCAGTTTGGGGTTTAATGAAATTGAGTCAACGCAGAGTTTTCATCTTTAAAACTTTAATGTTACCAGGTTACTTGGGATGGCCACTCAGGAAGCATGGCGCGTACCCAGCAGGCTGCACAGGCCAACATCACTCTGCAAGAGCAGATCGAGGCCATTCACAAGGCCAAAGGACTGGTGGGAGAGGATGATACTAAGGAGAAAATTGGTCCAAGCAAGCCCAGTGAAATTCATCACCAGCCTCCGATGCCCTCCGGTGCATCCATGTTGCCTAAACCCAATCCTCCAATGACATCTATGCCCCGCCCACCCTCTGTGAGTTACTTGAAAAAAAAAAAAAACCAGACAATTGGTAACAAAATGTGATCATGAATATTCAACTAATAACCTATGAACGTGTTCTCTGTAAACAGTTGGCCCCTCCAGTGCGCACCACTCTCCTGTCTGCTGTACCTGTACTCCCAAGACCACCTGTGGCTCCTGTGGTGCGCCTTGCATCAGGACAAGTTCTAGCACAAATGCCTCCCATGATTCCCACCTCCCGCATCAATGTGGTCCCCATGCCACCATCAGCACCTCACATTATGGCCCCCAGACCACCTCCCATGGTTGTTCCAGCTGGTAAGATGACATTCAATATCAATATGAATTGTAGAGGAAATGAAAACTAATTTGGTAACTGAACCTTTTGTTAACCTTGTTCATTATTTTGAATTCAAATAACTGCTTCTTATTCTTCCTCCAGCATTTGTCCCTGCTCCTCCAGCACCACAACCCCCAAGCTCTGCCCCTGCTCCACCATCCCACCCACCCCCACCTCATGAGGATGAGCCAGTCAACAAGAAGATGAAGACTGAGGACAACCTTATTCCAGAGGAGGAGTTCCTCCGTAGAAATAAGGTTTGTTATAGCAATGGAATCTCATTAGTTTATTATACTAATAGTTAATGGCTCGAAATACAGCAGTCAAACTTTGATTTGAATCGTTGTTCATGTGAGTAAATGTTTATGAACACAGGAGTAATGTAGACCTGTATATATTTTCAATTGTTGCAGCTGTGAAACACTGTTCATTGATAAACCAACCAACTCACACATCTTATAAATTATAGATTTAGCTGTAATGCATATGGTCAGGTTTCTGATTGGGCCTATAACACACATAAGTTCATCCTGTTCTCTTGTTGTAAGTTGCTCTGTCTTAACCTGAGCCATGTTTTCTTTTCAGGGTCCTGTGGCGGTTAAAGTGCAGGTCCCCAACATGCAGGACAAGACCGAATGGAAACTGAATGGCCAAGTGCTGAATTTCACCGTCCCACTCACAGATCAGGTATGCAAATGTTGGCTTATTGTCTCTGTGTTTTTAGTGAGTGTATGCCAGTGCATCTACCGCATACTTATGGACATGCAAATGCAATCTCTCCATAGGTGTCTGTCATTAAAGTCAAAATCCACGAAGCTACGGGCATGCCAGCAGGAAAACAGAAGTTACAGTATGAGGTAAACTATTCTTTTAAATCCTCTTTTAACCTTAATGTTCCTTTTAAACCTTTAAATTAACTTGAGTGAATAATATGGGTTTTTTCTTTTCATTTTAGGGCATTTTCATTAAGGATTCAAACTCCCTGGCTTACTACAACATGAGCAACGGTTCAGTCATTCACTTGGCACTGAAGGAGAGAGGTGGAAGAAAGAAGTGAGCCATGCAGCAAGAAGGAAAAGATTATTCTTGTGTATGTTATGTCCTAACCCTGTCACGTTATTTTAGTTGAAAGATAATTGTATTGTGCTTTTCTTACAAATTTTGTGAAAAGTATGAACTTTCTTTAATGTGACTGAGAATGCTAAATGAATGATACTGTACTCTGTACGACAGCCATGGCTTCACACTATTGTTTCCGCTCTGGATTTGTTCATGATGATACACCGTATTAGTAACTTGTAAGAACATGTAGAGCCCCGTAATATTCACCCATTTAAATAAAGGAATAAAAAATCCAAATCTGCTTTTGTTGCTTCATGATGTGTAAAGATAGAAACTGGTTAATAACAATGTGATTAACTACAACAACATGGATTAATGCAGGTTCAGTAGTGGCTTGCGACTTGGAAAACCAACTTGCAGCGTCATATTGCGTGACACTAGTTGGCTACTAATCTCTACTAAATTACGCGGGAAAACAAAAGCTTACAAGATTTCTTAAAAGGACAATTGTATTCACTCCTGTGGTTTCCAGATCCACCATACAGGCGTAATGGACAAGGGTGTGACATGTAACAAGAAGTAGGTCATTGTTCAACACCTACATACAAATCGTTAAGCTACAGACTGCTTCATATTGAAGATGATCCACATTGTAACAGGCCACGTAATGTCAGACCAGATTTAAGTTTAATCACATGATCCACACCCAGAAAACTGCTGCAGCATTTATTTCAGCTCATATAAACGAGGAAATATAGCTCAGGATAAGTGGTGTATAGTAAATACTACAGTGAGTAGTTACAATCGGATATACTATTATATAGTACTGTTGATCCCTCAGGGGTATATTTGTTTCATTACAGTTGCTTAAAGTGCTCACACAAGACATTAAAGAGTATAAAAAAGAATAATATAAAATGTTAACATTGTATTATATATTACAACATTTAACATTTTATAAAGAAAATACTATATATATATGCATATGTACATACATCTATACATATATACCATTGACAGTATATATACATACATAAGAATAGAGAATATAAGAGTCTGAAGTATGTATCACTTTACACTTTTGCACATTTTTGCACATTTTGCACATTTGAAAGTGTGACTTTAAACTGCACATTTTGAGGCAGCACTAGCTCAGTGTGGGGGCTTGGGAACCGGAGGGTCGTGGGTTCAAGTCCCACAGACCACAAAATATGGAGTGTGGACTGGTAGCTGGAGTGGTGCCAGTTTCACCTCCTCAGCACTGCCAAGGTGCGCTTGAGCAAGGCAACCTAACCCCAAGCCTGCTCATGGGGTGCTGTTAACGTTGCAACCCCTATCACTCCACCATCTCTCTCCCTGTTTGCATGTCCACAAGTGCATGAAGTGTGTATTTCAGCCTGTGTGTTCTTCTTCTTCTTTACACTTGCCATTTTTGCACATTTTGCACATTTGAAAGTGTGACCTTAAACTGTACATTTTAAACCTTAATATATATATATATACATAAAAAAAAAAAACTTCCCTCTCACCCTCTTGGGGTGGTATCTGTGTCATCCTCAAGCTCGGGTCCTCTACCTGGGAGTTTGAGGGTTCTGCGCAGTATCTTATATATATATATGTATATATATATATATTTCTTATATATATTGTATATCTATTACATCTGGAGTATATGTAATGAAGGTGGGATTATTAAAGTATTTCTGATTCTGATTATATACAATATATGACTATGAATGTGAATTTAAAGACAGAAGTATCTGTATACTACAGATACATAACAGCAGTGTAATGACTACTGATAATGTTGAGAGCTGAATCCTTGACATTTATATTATTAGAATAATAATATAGATTATTGCACATCAGTTCATCTAAATTGGTGGTTCACTTGGAGATCTTGCTCTGCAGGTGAATTGCAGTGCAGGAGAAAATAAGTGCATGTAGTGCATTGACCCCCCACCACCACCCCCACCCACCAGCAGCACCCCCCCCACCCACCAGCAGCAGACATTAGAGTAAGTTGTTCTGACTGCAGCCACTAGGGGGGTTTCAGTGACACCAACCCCGGACGGCAGGCTGTCTCGCTGCCTGGTCGAGGCAAACAATCTGTCTAACACACTCGGGATGACAGGACAGCGAGACAGGACGCCGTTAGCCGAGAACATGATACACTAACATGTTCGCCAGCTGACAGAGTTGGTTAATGGCTAACTATGAAAGAGAAGCGGACAGTATCGCGTTAGTTTGACGGTGGGCTCATTATAGAAAGAGGGTTTTTTTTCGGGCAGTGGAGGCTAACAAGCTAGCTAGCTTATGTTAAAACCTCGAATAAGTTAACCGATTTACCAGAAGAAGTTGTCGGGAAAGTTGTTTTTTTTGTTTTAAACTCTAGTCGAGAAATCATGGCGTCGATGCTGTTAGTTTGGACAACATATGCGGAGGAGGAGTTTTGACTTTTGGGCTGTCAACAAAGCTCGCTGACGTTAGCTGTCCCGGCTAGCCTGCAGCTAGCGTCCTCGCTAACATGGCCAAAACAGAAAACGGCCGTCAGTCGGTGGACACAAGGAGTATCCGGACCATTAGCAGCAGCCACATTGACGATGAAAGCTCTTTGGGCTCAGACTCGGAGATCAATGGCTTCACCAGCGACAGGCAAACCGATAAATATGGATTTATCGGCGGGGCACAGCAGTACACGGAGGCGTCGTAAGTTTGGTTTGAACTCTGCAGTGATTCATTGCTTTGACTTCCATGTGTGTGTGTGTGTGTGTGTGTGTGTGTGTGTGTGTGTGTGTGTGTGTGTGTGTGTGTGTGTCCTCAGCTTTAACTGTAATGTTTTCTTAATTTAATCCACTTTGAGAAGTTGAGAGCAGGGTTAAAGTGTTTGCAGTTTTAATGTGGTTATGTTGACATAAGTTGTGTGTGTGTGTGTGTGTGTTTTAGTGTTGTTGTCTTGGTGTCTCTCTGCACAACAGAGCTCCCAGCCAGCTGCGTGGCACGATGTGTTATTTATGCCTCACACACACACACACACACACACACACACACACACACACACACACACACACACACAATGTGGTGAATATGAACGCTAGATGCAGGCACTTTGAGATGGATTGAAAAAAAAAAAAACCTGCAGGCTGTGGGTAGAAACAGATTGCATGTAACTAGATTATTAATAAGCATCCCCCCCCAAAAAAAGGTATCTGTAATGCGTTACAGTTACAGGTAAGAGAAGTAATCAGATTACAGTTACAGAATTTAAAATGCATAGTTTTCTAGGACATATTTTATTTTTATTGTTATTTATTTTAATCCAAAAGTAATGTAAAGTAATCAAGTTGCGTTACTTTTATATTGTGATACTTGGATTAGGTTACTGACCACATTTTTTAACAGTTAATAAGTAATTATGTCAGTTACATTTTTGTTGTTGATCAGAAAGTAACGGAAAGTAATCAAGTTACGTTATATTTATATTGTGATACTTGGATTAGGTTACTGACTTAATTTTTTAATAGGTAATTAAGAATTAGGAATAGCCTCACAACCCTGATAACATGCAGCATAATTCTCCATCACGTAAACCATTTGCTCATGCAGATATTACTTGCTGCTCAGTTCGTTAGTGGGGAAAGCAGCAAAAGCAAATTCACACTGTCTTTTTTGTTCCGTTTTCATTTGAATTAAATTATTCATAGCCTTTGTGAGCGAGTTGCTGTTTTGTTTTTCTAAGAAGGGCACTTCTTTCTTCCCCTTTTCATTGGGGGCCTTGAGCCTACATTAAGAGTACTGAAATGAGTGAGGAGTGAGTTAAAGTTGTGCCAAGCACTGGCTGCCTGGGAGCTTCCTGTTTTCTGGAGCATTGGCAGACTCGGAGCCACAGCTCTGGTGCCCCGTTACTAGAGGGCCTCTTTTGGCTCCCAGTTTTATAGGTGGTCACAAACCCAGGGTTTAACTTACACTAGTTGGCAGTGATTGAAAGTAACTCATCGTCGCTTAAGGTCCATAGAGGCTGAAGCTGGTGTATAACATATTGTTGTACTGATCCCCAACATACAATATAGCCTACAACTTTTTTAGCTGCAAAAAGGGCTGTCCCAAGTTTAAAAAAAAACCTCTTTGAAGACGTTTGAACCCTACAATTACAGGCTTGTGCTGATGAGATAATAACACAGCTTAGTAAAGCATCAGACCTCATTCATAATGTAGGTTAGACTTGCTTACGTTTTCTTTTTTCTTTTTCTTCTGGAGAATATTATGTGCAGCCCTTACTTTTTTTTTCTTGCCTGTAAATGTTTTGAAGTTAAATTACATCACAAGACAGTCAAGTCCTCACTGCGGCTCTTTGAGGTTAAAACGGCTTTGCTATTAAAGGGGCTGGATCTGAGTTTGTGTCTTTTTATAGTCTCATCAAAACAAGGTAGTAGCTGTTAATTTTGACTCACTGCACAGTTTACTGACTGCATACGAGCGATGGCCACACACGCAGATCTGTCTGCCCACGCAGAAAGATGATGATGAAATAAGAGTAGATTTACATGTTGTTCAGTCTTATTTGCTTTATTATTGATTAAATGTGCATTATAAGTACATTGATCTTTCCTATCTTTTCCCTCTATGTGTCCCCAGAGCTAAGGATGTGCCTCCAGAGGTGCTCAGGCAAAGGGAGGTGAAGTGGCTGGACATGCTCAGCCACTGGGACAAGTGGATGATCAAGAGATTCAATAAGGTCAGCCCAACTCAACAACACAAAATGTCAGCTGGCTTGTTTGTATGCTCTGCACGGTGCTTGCCATGGGGATAGGTCAGATCTGTATTGGCTCAGTTTTTACCGAAGCTTTTATAAAGCGTGCATCTCAGCTCCACCAGCATTGTCTGCCGGCTGCAGTCTTTCCCTCCCGAGCAGTTTTGCACACATGATCAGACAAGGCAAATGGCATTGCTCAAGTATTTGATTGCACAAGGACAAGACTTTTGTGGACACATTGTTTGCAGCTTCACTTGTCTAGCTGGTTCTGTGTAAAACGCTCTCAGCAATGAGCACAGAGCCGCAATTTCACCTCATTTCCATGAGTCAGCAGCGGGGCAGGACACGACCCATCCCTTTATCGCTCCATGCACCATGTGACAAATTGACAGTCTCAGATTCAGGGTGGGGCTGTATTGACTTCCTATGAGACAACCATGTAATAAAGGTGCTGTGAGTGCAAACTATAGCTGTACTCAAATGCAAGACCAGCTATTCAGAGAGAAAAGCACCTCATGAGAAGAAGAAACGGTGTGTTTGAGCT